CTCATCTGCGGATGCAGACGGGTGAAATTGCGCCAGAGTCTCGACAATATCCTTGTGTGCCGCTTTCAGGTGGTGTACCTTACCGAGCGGGTATCGCTTCTCATTCATGAGAATCAAGTCTCTTCTAGCCTGCTCAAGCGATTTCTTGATCTCTTCAACCTTTTCCGCAGCGGCTTCGGGCGTCTGAGATGCATCGTCGCCAAGATCGATTCCCAGGTCGGCCGGTCCAATGCCGACCAGCGCGAGTGCTGCGGTCTTTGATCGCAGCTTTGAATCCTGCGCTTCGTCCTGGGTGCTCTTGTGGCGGTAAATCTTGTCGTAGATACCTTCGCACAGTCTACGCTCCACTGCCTCCTCGATGATGCCACGCTTGGCTTCAATTGCTTTCCGCGCCTTCTTCTTGTTGGCGAGTTCTTCGGCGGTGATCATCTGCTGCTCCGGCTCTGGTTTGGGGAGATTTTTGGGTTTATCCTTGCTTCCGAGGGAAGCCGCCTTGGCTCGAAGCCTGCTAGCTGTGGAGACCTTGGATGACGCGGACGGCGCAGGCGATGCATCCCGATTATGCCGTGTGATCAGACTAGAGATGTGTGTGTTGACATGTGTGGATGCGGTTTCGTAGAAACTCTGGAATAATGCAGACACATTGTCGATGGTCAAAGGCGCGGGGTGACTTTTCGAGCTGAGAGTCTCGACGAAGCTATCCGCGGTCAGTACATGAGTGAAGCCGAAAGAGGATGGTGCGCCATACCTGTCAGTCAGACTAACTAGCTCAATTGGAAGCTCACCCAGGTCCACAGAACCTCTGCCGTCGAATCCATCGTCATTATCTGTTGACGGCCTTCCAGCAGTCTCGAAAGCATCAGGGCCCTCGGGCTCGTCTACTGGCTTCTGCTGGACCTTGCTGGCGACGGTCGGCGTCGTTGTCGTCGTCGTCGTCGTCAACGGGTCGGCCGCAGTGCCATTCTGGAATGTTTGAGCTCGTTTCGGGACTCGGAGAGGATCGCTGTCTTCGCTCTGGCGAGTGAAGGAAGGCGCTCGTATCGTATTTGGACGAGTTGCTGGGGATTTGGAGGGGCCGGTTGACGCCATAATTTCGACGATGCTGGAAGCCATTTTCTTGGTCAGTTTGACTTCCTGGAGATGAAAAAAAGGGATTTTCAGGCGCTGACTTGGGGCTGACAAGCAAACATACCTGGTCTGGTGTTGTCAAGGCGGCATTAAGTAGTGGAAGCGATCTTGAAACCCGATATCAGAGGAAAGAGATCCCTGGTTGTAGCACGCGGGACAGATTTATGCCATAAATGGAGTAGGAGAACAGGGATGATGGCTCGTAAGATGGCCCAAGATGGCAGCTATGTTTCTATTCGCATCTCTAACAAAATGATGTCAGTGCCGTAGATGGGTGCACGGGGTGCCTTGTGCCAGCGCAAAGCAAAGAAGAGGGCGAAGACGGGGCGAGAGAGCAATGAGGTTTTGAGGATTGTTGGTCTTTGAGCAGCTTGAGAATAGGCCGTTCCCGTGAAAGGAAGGTAACGCAGGTAACCAACCGAGCATGCCAGCTATGGTCGGTAAGGAAGACAAGTTGACAAGGTAGCTCCCGCCATGCCCCCGCTCAAGTTTTATTGGAAGCCCACAGGTGTCATCTGCAGACGGATCCGACCTTCAGTGCATGCATGTGCTGGGGGGGCACGAGGAGGACTGACAGCGGATGTCTTAGCCTCAGGTCCTGATAGCAACTGTAGCTACCTTAATGTAGGTAGGTACGAATGCTCTGTACTCTGTACTTTGGGGCTTGGTCTTGATCCCTGGATTCCAACCAGTGATGGGCCCATTCTAGTACCTTGCACAACGTACCTTGTTCCGAAGCATAAATGGTGCCTCGGAATGTCATCAATGTTGGGCGTATTATCCATGGCAGCAACCCGGACGGGTTGCGACGGGATCGTTGAGTAGCCGAAGGTCCGCTGAAGATGCCCCTCGATGGTCCCCCAAAGTGGCGTGGAACGGTGGATGCCAGGCACCAGGCAGCTTCGGATACAGAAGGCATGCGCGCTATCTGAGGGGACATTGGTCACATGCTGGTGCGGGTATCCCTGGTTGCGCCTTATCGGGGGACATGACACTATAGGTACCAGCCCAGGGTAGCTGTTAAGCCGGCTGCAGTATCGACGACATAAAGTCTTAACGCAGATCCGGAGGCGGAGACCTTTTGGCGCCGGGAGTGGGTTATCGGGCCTGATCTGTGCACTCTCCGCGAGTCGGAGGCAACGTAAACAGCGCCAGCGTCGTCCACCTGATGCTGTCATAACTTGGGGCACGTTGTCTGCGCATCTCAACGTCGGCATCATTGATCCTCTTGTACTCATCTACCTCCACGCGTCGCCTTCCGCGAGACCCAACTTCTCGTTGCTTTCACTCCCTACTCTTCGTCAACCATTATTCTTGGATGCGACTTCTTTTTCTTGTGTCTTGAGACAACCATGAGACTCAAATTAGGGCGAGGGGGCCAGTGTAGCTCTGCTGGCAGGGTTACGGCACAGCTGCTCTTATCGTTCCTCGCGGTATCACCGACTCTAGCTTCCGTTGGGGAAGTGCCAAACAACGACGAGGCCGTCCTTCAACCAGGACCTTTACTTCCACCCAGCACCGCACAACCCAACACGGGCGAACACATATTTACATTACGACACATTTTCCACCATGGAACATATCGGCATCCTCAGCTGCACCGACGCAAGGATGTCCGCCACTCCGACGGCGCCGATAACCAGGTCTGGCTGGCGGAGGAGGACGGATACAAGAGGGAAAGGGTGATGCCTCTGAAGGCCCAGAGCACGCCTCTCAAGATCGAGCGCATGGTTGATCGTCGGCCGTCTGTCGTTGATCCCATGGTCACCGAAGCTCGTCAGCGCGGCTATGTCAACATCATGTCGCCATCCGATTGGACTACCGACGAGGTCCCCGGACCCAACGTCACGGACAAGGCCACGGTTATCAGCCTTGCCATCATGGCTGCAAACGCTTACATTGAAGAGGAGGGCAAGGCGGACTGGGAAGAGGTCGGCAGCGGCTACAATAGGAGCGCTGATTTCGGATGGGAGGGTGACGGACTCCGGGGGCACATCTGGGCGGACGAGACGAACTCGACTATTGTTATTGGCCTCAAGGGAACTTCTACGGCCATCTTTGACGGAGAGGGAACCACCACCAACGACAAGGTCAATGACAACCTCTTCTTCAGCTGCTGTTGTGCTCAGCAGGGGCAGTGGACCTGGCATCAAGTGTGCGACTGCGCCACATCCACCTACTCGTGCAACAACACCTGCGTCGTGCAAGCGCTCAAAGACGAGCACCGATACTACACGGCGGCCAAGGAACTGTACTCGAACGTTACCGAGCTGTTCCCCGACTCCAACATCTGGCTGTCGGGCCATTCCCTCGGGGGCGCAGTCAGCTCCCTCCTGGGCCTGACCTACGGTATTCCCGTCGTGACCTTTGAGGCCGTGCCAGAGGCGCTCGCCGCCAGCAGACTGGGACTGCCTGTTCCTCCAGGATACGATCAGATGCTTCATCAGGCTCGCACAGATACCGGCGCCTTCCATTTTGGTCATACGGCAGACCCCATCTACATTGGGACCTGTAATGGTGCTACAGCGACGTGCTCCTTTGCTGGGTATGCCATGGAATCGGCCTGCCATTCTGGACTTGAGTGCGTTTATGACGTTGTGGCCGACAAGGGATGGAGAGTCGGCATCGGAACCCACAAGATCCGATCTGTGATCCACGATGTCATCATGAAGTATGACACGGTCCCAGAGTGCAAGGCTACGCCCGAATGCCGCGACTGTGCCAACTGGAAAATGTATGAGAGCAACGGGACCGAATCGACCACGACGTCCAAGTCCTCGACAACATCGAAGACGCGTACTCGGACAGCCACCTGCCAGACGCCGGGCTGGTGGGGTTGCTTGGATGAGACCACGACGACGCCGGTTACCACTACTACTTCCACGTCGACCACGTCCACTTGTAAGACCCCTGGCTGGTTTGGATGTAAGGACGAGTCGACCACGACTACGACCACTTCGTCTTCAACTACGACTACAACAACGACGACTACTTGCAAGACACCTGGATGGTTTGGCTGCAAGGACAAGACTACATCGACCACGAGCACGACTTTGTTCCCCGGCGCAACCCCGTCTCACACCATCACTGCCGCGCCCACGGCCACCCCGACATCAGCGCCCACCAAAGCACCCCCTTCAGATCCTCGCTGCAATAAGAGGTACTGGTTCGGATGGTGTAAAGAATGGACCCAGGCGGGCGAGAGCTGGAGTGAGGAGATGTGATTTGCATAGGTCCAGATTTACCTGTACTTTTGGGTTGAAAGGGATGCGGGAGCATTACATGAATTAACAGGCGGCGTTTGGTCATGGGAACGGAGTACACATAGGAGCTGGCAATGCCAGCCACAGATTAGCAATTACAAGTCATAGGAAACTATGCAAACAAGCTTGGAATATAGAACATCATATCAGGGTCTCATCTGCAATGATAAGTTGACATATATGGTGTTGGCAGGTTTACCTTACCTACCTTAGGCAGCCGTGGCCGGTCGCCTCAAGAAATCGGGGAACGGCGCACGGAGGTAACGCCCCCTAAGCCCCACTGAGGGACTTGGGGCCGTTGGTTGTTGCCCGCTGCCCGCTAACTCCCGATTCGCTTGTAATTGGTACCTTGCCGGAAGGTGGTTCTAGGAAAGTCGAATTGTCAGACGTCACAAGTGCCGCGACGTCCGCTACATCTACAATTTTTTTTTTTTTTACCCTTCTGGACGCGTCTCACGCAGACACTACTTTACCACCCTCAACGTCAAAACTCTCCCCACGCAACCCATTTCACTCGAACAGGCCGCCGGCTGTACACGCCGCACCTCTCACAGCGCGGCAGACATGGGCTAAGGGCCCAAATCCACACCTTTCAATTCGACCGACGCGATGGCTACAACGGCAAACGACACCAAACCTTCATCGCGCGATGAGTCTTCGGACTCGAGCGACAGCGACAGCGAAAATGAGACCCCGACAGTCGCCACTCCGACCACAGTAGAATGGTTGGCGACCGGTCGAGAAAAGCGGTCTACCGCCGGTAACCGCATGAAGTCGATGCTCGCCAACGAAGAACCCGATTCGGACCTCGAACTGCTTTTTGCCGAAGACGACAACGACGAAGGCTTCAGCGATGTCGACGATGCTGGTTCCGACGTGCAGATGGACTCGTCATCCGACGACGAGGATGACCAGCAGCAGGGAGACGACCTTGAGGGCGAAAAGGAGCTCGAGAAGCAAGCCAGGGAGAAGAAGCTAGCGTCGCGGAAACGCAAGGCCCAGGAAGCTATCCCGGCCAAGTTCAGAAAAAAGGTCCGCATCGAACAGACGGCCGCACCCGCGCCGCGGCCGAAGAAGAAGTCGGAACGGACGAGCTGGCTGCCCTCGGCGGCTGACATGCCTATCCGCGCCTCGCTCCGCCAGACGACGATGCTCAGCAAGGAGCAGCTGCACCAACAGATGAAGGAACGCGAGGCGAAGCGGTTGAAACAGGTGGCCATCATGGAAAAGAAGGCAAAGAAGCTCGAGGCGTCCAAGAAACCGCCCATGACACAGGCGGAACGGTTGGCTGAGGCGGCCCTCGTGGAGAAGCGCAACGCAAAGTCGTTAAACAGATGGGAGGTGGCCGAAAAAGCGCGAGAAGAAGAACGGCTTGCGAAGCTCGCCGCTCTCAACAATCGAACACTCAAGGGCCCTGTGGTGACGTACTGGAGCGGCATTGGTGAGTGGGAGCATCATCTGAAGCACGTTGGCAGGGTCGCCGAGGAAGAGAAGCCCGTTCGGAAGAAGAGGGAGAAGAAGGAAAAGGTGGATAAGACGAAGGGCAAGGAGAAGGACCAGAAAGATGGCAAGGAGGAGGGCTCAGCGTCGAATGCTTCTGAGCCGACGCTGCCTGCACCGACGACAGAGACGACAGCAGAGGCACAGTCGAACGCAAAGCCTGACGCTCCGCCAGCTCCCCCGACGTCAATGGATGTCGACCAACCTCAGCAGAACGATGCTTCAAAGGCACCGTCGCCATCGACACCCGTTCCGCCCGTCCCAACAGACCCTGCACCGATAGTGAAGACGGAAGAGCGCCCCCGTGTGATGGCTCCCCCACCCATTCCTCCACCGCCATCGTCGTCACTCGCCATGCCCAAGCCTGAAGACAAATCCAGGATCATGGCACTACCATCAATACCACCACCGCCGACCTTTGGCTCCATGTCCATGGCTCCTCCCCCTATTCCGCCACCTCCAAAGACATCGGTATTGGCAGCTCCAGTGCTCGCGCCGCCTGTTCTTGCCCCTCCCTTGGGTGGCATCCACCTTGCTCAACACACGACGCAGCCAAAGTCCAATGTTCTGGCGCCTCCGAATGTATGCCAGCACAAGTCTCCTCTATCCATGCCGGCTCCTCCCCCTCCACCATCAGCAAGACCGCCGCCGCCGCCACCACCTTCACTAGCACCACTCCAGCCGTCACAAACAATCGCTCCGCCGAAGCCTCCATCACAACCGACGGTCGATCCCTCTCGTCTCGCACCGCCTATGACTGCGCCTGCGCCGGCAGAAGCACCGGCGCCTGAGGAGCCCCCCCCGAGCGAGGTTGCTCGCAATGCCTTTATTCTTCGCAACTTTGACGAAGAGCGAGTGCGTGACAAGACTGTACAGACCCAGATTCTCTTTGGACGGCGGATGGACCGCCTTGCGAAGCCAGCGCCCCGGCCAGTATGTGTCATTACCGCCCACCCCGCTCGCTACCGCGACCCCGAGACGGGTTTACCTTATTTCAACGCCTACGCGTACCGCGAAATTCAACGACTCCGCCGCGGCGAGTACAAGTGGAGCAGCCTGCTCGGCGCATGGGTCGGCAGCTGCACATATGCCGCTCGCGGGGTGCCGGAGCGGTTCCTCAAGGGAGGTCCGCCAAGACAGCCAAAGAAGAAGGAGGTGGAGAAGGAGGAGGCTAAGGTTCCAGAGACAGAAGCAGAGAAAGGCAACGGCGCCGTCGGGGAAGGCACCGAGAAGCAGGAACCCAATGATGCCAAGACGACACTGCCTGCTCAGGAGGGAGTGGTGGATCAGCCGACAACCAAGACGGATGCCGCGACGGTGCCCTCACCGTTACCGTCGGCGGGGCAGGCACAGGCGCAGCCGCAGACCCAGCAGCCGCCGCCGCCGCCAGCCCAGCCGCAAGCGCCGCAACCACCACCAGCAGGCCAAGTTCAACCCACCCAGGACAAGGAAGTGAACTTGGCCGTCACCGAGTCTGTCACACAACCCGCTGCCGCTTCGGTTGCGACCGTTGTCTGAGTAAGGACAAACTCTATGGGAGGCCCGCCTGAGTAGTTGAGCAGAACAGAAAAAACGTTAACGGGAACGAAAAAGCCACGACTATTTGAGGATTTTCATCGGACGGTTTGTTCCTGCGCCCTGAACAAATATAGGCTCCGACCGATCAGATCGGAGAGAGTGGGCCGAAACAAGGCACACACCAACATACACACATACCTACACACGGGGAGTTCAGAGGGAGGGTAGGAGGAAAGTCAAAACATGGGGCCAGGGCTCGACTTTCGAGGTCCCCAATGTTCACGGGCGTTTATCAGGCCGCTTGCTGTATTGGGTACGGCGTTATATATGGCCTTTTTGGTGTGGGATGGGACGGGGATACTGTACTTCTATTGTGATAATACCCGCAGGGCAAGTTTTCCCTCGTTGAAAGGTGGGAAAGATATGCTCTGCCGTTCTCGGAAGTGCTCTGAGAAACTTGAACAAATGCTTCACTCTGTCCTTGTGTGTGTTGTTCGTTTCCTTTGCATCACTGGTCATCACAGTGTGGTGTTGTTCGTAAGTACTACCAATGAGACATGTGATCACTACATCAGGACAAAGGGTCCAGTTCAGTATCTCGTGAGTTGTCCAGCAAAATAGAACTCCGGAACTCCACAGCATTCCGGGTTAGTCCACTCAGTCGGGAGAGAAAAGACCGACGAGACACACGTAACCCCCCTTTCTTCCCCTCCGTGTCGTCAAAAGTCTCTTTTTGAGATTTCCCTTCTCCCACCTCGTACGTAGTGACACGATTCAATGGTATCAAGGGGCCCTCGGAAGCTGGATGATGAAGCACGAAAGGGGGGATGGCAGACCGAAAGCAGACTTAGCTGCTGGAGGCCGGTATGGCTGGCTAGGTGGTACGGTTGGGCTGGAGGGCATGAAAAACGCTATTTAAGAATTTGTTTGGACGTTGGGGGTGTAGTGGTTGACTTTTTCTCGTGCCAGATCTCTTTCTCTCTCTCGCGCGCGCGCCGAAGAATGTTGGGATGGTTTTTTTTTTTTGTGATCAGACCAGGGCAGGTTTACGTACGACTGTAGACAGACCACTTACAACCCACGGTCCATAGGGTGGGTGCTACATTGAGTGGGCGAAAAGCTTAATTTGAGGTGTGGTCTCGACTTTCTTGTTCCGGGCATGAGTCGTGATAGATGCGGACATGTGGGAACGCATGATCAGGAGGAAGATGTCAGGTCCAGGGTAGGGAAGTGGTAGAAGGTGGAGGTTCGAGGGAATGTTACGCCGTTGGACATGGTCAGACTCGGAATTCAATCTTTGATCGAAAACACTATCAACGATGCGTGGGATATAGGTGGATGGAGGGGATGAGGTTACGTGGTTGCATTCTGTACACCGCGCCATCTCATACAATCCATCTACGGAACTCCCACTCGCAGGCATGCCTCACCAATACATCCGTTTACGCGCGCGAGCAGAGTAGCAGTAGTAGTAGCATTGCAGGAAGTAAGGCTGTTGACACGGAGCCGCAAATCCGACGTTGAGCCTCACCAAAGCATGCTTCGCCTTTCTTCCCCTGACCATTCGGCCCCTTCACCTTCACGTTGGACAAGCCTGCCATACCATACCATACCACACCACCACGTACACAACCAACCATCCCAACCTTTCGGGTTCGATATCGGATTCCCGTCTCTCCCTTCCAACCATCCGAAGCTTTCATTCGTTCCTCGTAGTCGTACCTGGCCTTACGTACCTCTCTCTCCCTCCCCTCTCTATAATTCTATTGGGCGTACGTACGTATACACACACCATCAACATTTACGCTCACTAATACATCGTCGTCCCATGTTCAAGGTGCTGCGGTCTCAGTAAGACCCTCCGCTCTCCCATCCCTACTTTCTTATACAATCCCACTGGGTGCCGATTGGGTATGAATAATAAGCAACCGGGCCATACAACCCCTTCCATGCACCGTTCAGAATTTTGATTACCTAGTTTCTGGTGCCTGGGTAGGTGCCTGGCTGGTGTGGGAACATACCCGGATACTTCCTAGGCTGGACGAGGATTGTGATCGCAAATTTAGGAACACCCTCACTATACCTCGCTGAAATACTCGCATCTCCCCCAATCTCCTGTGTCAACTCTCTTTTTCTGTTCCGACGTTGACATCACTTGGCGAAGAATTCGCGGGTGTAGGGAGAAGTACGCTATACCGCAGAGAGAGAGTCCTTTTGAGGGGTCTCCTAAGTTGAACAGGATCATAATTCAACCGCTTCTTCCTCTATCTTCGGACCCCCTTCTCACATACCCCTCCCGTCTCTCCGAGGAGCGAGTCCCCTTGGACGCACACGTGTTAAAACACCATTATCAAGAGACACACAAGAGGGGACGGACCATCGTATCTGAGTACATGTCGTCATTCTTCCCCAACGTGATCGGGGAAATCACGGCATGTAGGGCACGGTGATAATCACTTTGCCTTGGGAAGACGGATCATGACCATGACGATGGACCATGGCGGCGCTCGCCGGACACGAATAGTGCATGCCGTAGTCAAAAAGTAACCAAGACGAAAACGGGAGACATCAAGAACTCTGAACCAAGATTGATGATTTAAATTGTGAGATCCAATCAGGAATGAAATATCAACCGCCAATACTATCTCACAACCTTCAATTAGCCAGTAAAAGTCATGAAGAAGGCTTCCGTATCTCAAGCCCCAAATTACTGCCGCTGTCCCAAAGTAAACATCGTGAAAAATACTGGAGATAATGTAGGTCTTGAAGAGAATGAAGGGAAAAGGGGGGGAAACGCCCGTCGGGAATCTGGTCCAACCAACTACACCTACACATCGTCGTCATCCCCTCCCCTCCCATACCGTACCTTATCCCAAGAGGAGACCAAAACACCCAAATGACATGCATGGCTAAGATTCTTTCATGGTTTGATGAACACATTTCCCCTCTTGGATGGCTCTTAGTAGGAACTGGGATTTTCTCTCCCGCTGGCTTAACCGCTCATGCTAAGCATCCTCTTCTCCCTCGCTTACTCTTGCTCAACTCTCAAGCTTGCCGACACAACAACCTTCACCCACCCACCCAACCATATTCTCACATCCAGGGCAAACACACAGACATACAACACTCACCGTTGGACCAATCGCCGTGGTGCCCCTTCCAGCTCGTACGAGGTCCTCGGCCGAGCCTCACAGCAGCTCTCCAATCGTCCACCGCCCACCACTCCGAATCCTTTGAAACCGCAACCGTGAGTGCACAGATGGTATTCGTAAGGCACGTAGGCAGCAAAAAAGAAGCCTATTGAGCCAGAGCCTCGAAATGAGCCAAGGTTGCTTGCTTTTCGCGGGAGGCTAAATCAGTCAGTGACCCATGCTTCAATTTAACAGCCGGCGGGAACCCGGGATGTTGCAGGCTGACAGACGGCTTCTGTCACTTGGCATATGGGGGAGGAGACAGTTTCAAGCTTCTTGAGTCATTGCAGATGTTTCATTCAGGTCCATCTATCACGATCTCTTCGTTCCGCCTAAACTGGCAACGCTAGTTTGCAATGAGTAACCGTTTCCCATCAATGAAGCTTGCTCAATGCAGCCACAGCAAATCCGATCCAAATACTCCAAACACCTCGGTAATGTGTACCACATTTGCGCCGTTGCCCGTTGTCCATCTTTTCCTGTGTGATGTCCATTCCATTGTCCCCAGAGTTCCTCAAAATGTCCACCACATAAAGCGCCGTTGGCATGAAAGCCATGAGTGGTAATAGCTGTAGAAGGGCAAGGAAAGGGTATATCTCGTCCAGTACTCCGTCCAAAATCCGATTCCTTTTTGTGAATATGAGCTAGTCAGCCCTGTGCCCCATTGGGGAAGGCTGATGCGATGCCGCCTTTTTGTATAACCTGATATGTAATCCGTCTAGGTGGCTTTGGTTGTGTGCTTAGCCATCGATATATACGACGGTAGTGCAGAGTCACCGTGTAGTGTGACCTGCGTAGTAAATTTCTGTTTAGATGCCCTTGCCGCGGATGACATCAACCATCCAGCCCATCTCATTGACCAAGTCGTCAAGGCCGTTATCAGCGGGGGCGGCAACCATGGTGTGAACACCGGGGTGAACCTTGATGCCGGGAGCCCGGGGCAAGCTGTAGTTCTGCTCCAGAGACGGCTTCCTGGTGCTCGGAAGAGACAAAGGCTGAACGAAGTTGGCATCGCTCTCGTTGGAGTAGCGATCCTCTTCGGTAGAGTCATAGAAGGATGGTATATCATCCTCAGGAGAGATGGGGCCAATGGAGGAGGCGACGCTGGAGTCAGACGAAAAGGAGAAGCGCGAGGCGGATGGTGCCGTCGCCAGGTCTCTCAGCGTCTTGTTGACGGGAAGAGGAGGGAGAGGCGAGTACTTCTTCTCGCGTGTGAGAACTCGCGGGGCGTGCACTACCGGCAAGGTGCTGTCAGAGTGAGAGCGTTTGAAGGGCGGTGGTGACAGGCTGGTCGTGTAGGGGTTGACCTCGTAGGCCGAGTTGGCAAAGTTCTCATCATCGTCTCCCTCCTCGGCAATGTCGTCGGGGATAACAACAGGCGGACGCCCATATGCGCTAGAGGAAGCGCTGGAGAAGGGGTTCTCATCGGAGAGGAACCGTCTCAGGGACTCTGGGGAAAGATCGCGAGTTCGGCTTCCCTCAGATGAACCGCTTCTGTTGTCATCCGAAGAAGATCCAGAGTACGGTGAAAGAGGGCGGTCCTCATCCTCGGATTGGCGGCCACGCTCAGCAAGTCGGCTGGTGGACGGCTTCCTGTTGAACATGCGACGCCAAGACGGCGGCGGGGAGGTAGAGCCGGCGCGGGAAATGGATCTGCCAGATTGTGCGGCCGGTGCGGAGCCCAGTCTTCGAATTGAACCGCCAGGCACTGGTGGTGGCGGCCTGGGCGTAATGAATTTGTCTTCAGGGTTCATGGTCTTCTGTTCACCAGGACGGAGCGAGCCCAACGATGCGCTCCTCTTCCTCTCGGCCACTTCGTAAGGGACATCCAGAGTGTTGACAGTCTGTCCAGGAAGGTAAGGGCAGTTGGTGGTGGTAGGCAGTGCCGGGTTGTGCGACTCTTGCGTTCCATCAATCTCGTACTAAGACGTGTTAGTGCGCAGATCAACCTAGCCTCGCCAGATAACCTACATAGTAGTAGTAGGTGTTTCCCATCTTCAGGCCGCCGTTGCGCTTGGTATCCCTCGCACCCAAGTCGTCGTCCAGAACAATGTCCTTGAAAGTGTGGCATCCGCGCCATTGGCCGCGATCTCGTCGAATATCTCGTTCCATGGTGTATGGTTTGGTGAAGTTGTCCCAGGAGCCGACCAAGTGTACTGTTCTTACAGTCGGATGAGTCTGACTACATAGTCGTGATGGTCAGCGAAGGGAAGTAGAGGGGTTGCTTCTGGTAATATATATGAAGAGCAAGTGAGAAGGTATGAAGCATGATGCGAAAGCCAAGACACCAGCCATTGGGCTTGCGCCGAGCATCAGACCTGGTCCCCTGTCCCCCACCCAGGAGCGGACGAGGTGCCGATCACCGTCGGCGACGATTTTTTTGGCTTTGCAAGGTGTTTGACGGAGTTCTCGGAAGGTTGCCGCTGAGAAGCTGGTAATGGCAGGTGAGAAGGTGTGAGGGGAGGAACGGGCGCAGGCCAGGGCCGGGGAGGTAGGGCATAGCATAACCCGATATAAACTTTTCCATCCGACAATGTTCGAAACATGAGCCCAAGCAGACGGTTAAGCAGAAGCAAACAACCTTCGGCGCCGGTCCCCGAATGCTTTCCCCGACCCTTTGGGGAAACCGAAGAGATGTGTGTGAATGCTAAATGAGGAGAGGCAGCGAACTCTCGCAGACCTTGTGCTTCATTCGGCCGTACTGGGATTTGTGCAGGAGTCATGTAGGAGGCGTGATGGGACGAGGGGATCGAGGCTATTGGCCAGACATACAATTATGCGAGTTCGAACGAGAGGGCGATCGATCTTGTTGGATTTGGAGCGAAAGCGACGCCAAAGTTTCGACCAGCGAACGGGAGAAGAAAACGAAAGCGAGATTGCAGAGAATTAAATAAAAGCGACTCACAGCATGAACGTAAAGAGCGTCGTTGTAGGGTCCATGATGGGAAGCTAGAAAAGAGGCGGAAGCCTGAATCAAATAGGGTCGCGGGGTGTAAGTCTCAATTAATGGAATGTTTGTCCCGCTGTGCCGCGTCTGTTGGTACGGGTAAAGCTGGGGAAGGAGGCTTGGATCTGCACGTTGGCCCGGCCGGCGTGGTGTAAGTCGACTTGGCCGGCGTTGGTTGGGATACCACAGTCTAATTCGATATCAATGAAACGCCAGGAGCAGTCCCATTCTGTCTGGATAGACGCAGAGAAGCACCAGGTTGAGGACAGGCGAGGCAGATTTGAAATTGAGGGACAGGGTGGGCGGCCAATGGAGGGGACTGGATGTGCGTGGAAGCGCCGTGTTGGTGATCTGGAAGGGCGAAGTCGATCGCTGACTGGCGAGCGCTTAGAGAAACAAGCGGGCGGGCCCTAGGCATGCAGAGCAAAGACGGCAAAGCAGGTACGGTTTCTAGGTTTGGAAACGGGCGAGGTAACGGAGGAATTGTAAATGTCCAGATGGGGTGTTAGAGGTTGAGATGGTCGCCAGGTACCCCGTCTCGAGTAGGTTGGTGGTGGACTGGTGGTTGGGTTTGGAGCCTTTGGCGGACCGGTTTGTGGGAGGATGACGGAGTACGGAGTACGGTGTATGGACAGGTACGGGATAGTTGTCGAGGAAGTTTCTTTCGAGGTCGCTCTGCAATAAATATGAACCTCGGACGGAAACGGGGGCACGTCTCGCGAGCCTTGGACGGAGTTGGACCCAGGATCTTGTAAGCTGAAGCAGTAGCGCGGGTGAGAGAATAATTAGACGGTGGTAGCAGAGATGCTCAACAGGCCGGTCTGACCAGTGGAAGAGCGAGAGCCAAGCCAGGGTCTCCCAGTCTATTTGAAGGGGCCCTCGACGGGCACTAGCGAAAGACAAGAGCTGAAGGAGAGGCGTGGTGGGCTCTTGTGGATTACCGAATGGTCCTTGTACTCGATCTGGCGACGCTTTGAGCGCCCGCAAGCCCCCTTCTACCTATGGTAATTCCGTTCGACCCGCGCGAAGCCCCAGTCGGAGGAGGCGTCAATGGTGAAGGTAGTTGGACCAGATTGGGAAGAGATGAGGCGGCGACAGCGGCGTTGGGCGACGTAGGCAGGAGAATCGTGGCGTTCCAACTTTGTACACAAAAGTAGACGGGCCTTTCCTGACGCAGTTGGTAGCGTGGCAGAGGCTGCTGAAGCCCTCGCGAGGCCTGAAGAGCAAAGGCGAGTGTCCGTACTCTGTACTCCGTACTGCGTAGCAGTTCATGCAGCGGGCTACTATGGCCAGGGCTAGCGAAGGCTCGACAGGCCATGTGGGTTGAGCTTGACTCCTTGTTCGAGGTTGAGTGCCGGGTGCAGGAGCAGGGGGATGTTGCCGTGCGGGAGGATCTATTGGACGATGTGCTTTAATTAAGGTCCGTTATTGTAAGGTACCGTGCAGTGGGGATTGGCCAGAAAGCTGCGAGGAAACAACCTTGTAGGTGACTTTTTGACTGGAGCCCTGGAGACTGGAGCCCTGAAGGTCGATTTGATCAAGGTGACGTTGGGACCGTCTCAGGACCGCAAGCAGAAAAAGACGGCGGTTGGCTGTTGGTTCGTGGCGTAGCCAAGTGTTGGTTTGGGTATCTTTGTATCTCTCTATTTGCGGCGCAAGGTGACAGGGCAAGGTGAAGTCGAGACTCGAGACTTGAGGCGGCCGAAAGATGGCCAAGCCATTTGCATTTGAGACGGCTGACGGCAACCAAAGGTCAGAGAAGAGAGCTCTGTGTACCTTACACGCAGTACCTGGATAGTTGATGATTTGTGCATGTGCTTGTGCGTATGACATACTACGTACACCGTTCTGTACCTGCAGGATGCAGCCTGGAAACCGTCAGAGCGAAGCACCTTGCGTGCGCCTTTCTTGCCTCAAAATGTCGACCGTGACAAGCAGACGGGAAAACGGAAAGAGCAGAGGCATTCGTTCCTGTCTCGTTTGGCGCATTCGTCTTCCCCTTTGAGAAACAACTATTGCGGAGCGTCAGTCATCCTGAAAAGTCTAGCTACCTACCTTAGGTAGTAAGCACGTACAAGAAGTAGGTAGGTGTGGTGGCAGGCACGCCTTCCTTCTGCCTCTACCTTACTCTACGTGGAAGAAGGCAGGTACAGCACGACGATGATGATGCCAGTTTGGGTTTGTGTTTCGTGTATTCCTTCCTTCCTTCCAAATCCCCCGTGCCTATTCCCCGAGCACACCACTCGTCATACTGGGCAGTCACCACTCACCACCCAATCCTCTCCTTCCACGACAACGCTCAGCGGGTGAACCGTGTCAGCCCCGGAGCCAATCAGTTTCGGTCTCCCGGTACTGTGGACGGCGAGAAAGCCCCACGCCGACCTCCGTCGGCCTCTACGCCCAAGACTCCGAGACCGCGCCCTCCCTGTTGGTCGCCCGTCACAACCTGCCGTTATCCGACTTGATATATGCTATACTCCGTACTGAGAAGCACAGATCAGACATCCAATATGATGCTGAGAGAAGCGCCGCGGGCGATCAAACAATACACATTCGTCAGCAGGCACGGCACCCAGGCGGCACACCTCGATCGATCAAATTGGCTGTATCCGCATGTGCGGTGTATCGTGTACCCCAGCCAATACCTGGTTTCACTACCAATGCTTCCCGACCCCAGATGTACCTCTCGACGACATTGGACGAAGCCCACCCGACTCCTATACTGCCAATTTCACCAGTGACCTCACTTCAGTGCTCCACAGCACACCACACGATACACTACAAACACAACAGCACGCCGTCGTGGAATCTCCGCGACATCCGTGCTGCATTTCAGCATGAAAAGCAAGCCTCACATGATGCCACCGACCACGACGTCTCCCCAATGACGTGCCTGTCATTCAATCGTATTCCGGGCCTCATCGTCAGGCCGATGCTCTTGTGGTATCGCCGACGTGGCAGCCCCCAGCTAACCAGTGTTACTGATTTGATCCAAGTTGACAACAGTCTAGACATGATCCCCAAGGGCCAAATACCACCTCAACCCGGACACGCAGCAGTGCAGCAACCCAGGACAACCGCATTGTCCGTTGCCCCGATGCAGGGTCCCATTCGGCGTCATACCTCGATGGCCCTCCGTCGAGATATGCAAATCACGGCCGACTGGTTCCGGTGCAATCGCCATTTCCATCCGAGTCCAGCTGCCTTTGACCGCCAATGTCTCACTCTCTCACAGATGACCGGCTGGTAGATAGTATCCTGCGGCTTGGTGCCAATAGCTTGTTGGCGTTCCCGGCCCTAGTCGCTTCCGTCGCAGCTGAATTCACCCAAGCTAGGTCAACGGCCATGGCTATCGCTTCTCGACCATCGAGATGAATCGGGAACCCGCCAATCCAGATCGGACCTGCGCCGAACTGGAGTCCGTCGACGGAACATTACTATCCACTCCACCACCACCAATGATACTACATACATACAGACCGGATCGTGACAGGCGTTCAAGCCATTGAAAGCGGTATGTCTCCGCTGTGGGGTGGTAGCTGCGGCCACCGAAGGGCACTAGCGCAAGGAGCTAGATGCAGAAACCCTGCATTTATTCCTTTATGGTGTTGTGCAGCTCTCTCTCGCGGCCGGTAGCAGACCTGCAATGCCAAACGCTTCCTCGTCTCTCCACAGCGTTGACATTGCATAGCTTCGCGTTAGAGACCTCCTGCCACAGATCTAGCGTCGCCTCTGGTACCGGTGGAACGGGAGACTTTGGTCGTACACGAATGGCGCATCATCTAGCCGTTGGCCAGAGGACGGCAGCAAATGCAATGGTTGCATCACACAGGGCGGGCAGCAGGCAGCTCTTTCAAGATGGATCGGAATGACTTGGCTACCTAAATCTCACGTCCCGGATGCCCGCGGTGCCGCACAATCTACCTGCTTGCGTCTTGGAGTCGTACTCTTTGCAAGCTCGATATTCTCGAGCTGGCGTCAAAGGCTTGAGCATGGCTACCCACCACGATTTACGCTCGTTTGCTTTCTTCATGCGACGCGGCGCCGAGTCGAGACCTCGTGATGAGCGACTCCCAGACCGCCGCCGACCTGTCTCGTGCAGAATCGGCGATGCCTCAAACAGTTGTGGTTGCCCAATAACTCTAATCTCGAACTGAGCGACGACTTCGTAATCGGTGTTAGGGAATAGCAGACTCGGCCGGCAGACTGCACCCTCCACTCGGTTCCGCAATCTGCAAAGACTGCAAGGTTTCAATGGTCCTAGCTTAACGGTTACGGCCGACTCCATACTCGTCTCAACTTGACTCGACAGCTACGTTTGTTTTGCAATTCTCAAACAAAGCGGTAGAAGCCGACTGTGCGCGCGGCCACAGCCTGGTGCTTTAGTATTTTTTTTCACGACTCGGATCCATTCTATCCACGTCACAGGAAACATGTTTGTCGCCGTCCTCAGTTCGTCTGTACTGCATTCGACCTCTCCAGACCCATCACCCGCTGGTTGTCTAAGCTTCTCCCCGGCTCAAACGAACTGTCATGTCTGAAGATTGGAGTTTGCCACATAGGTCCTGGCTGAGGCACAGTGTCGCAGTCGAAAACTAAGAACTCCGGGGGCCGTCGGGTGCCGAACAGTTCATTGGCTGTCGTGCCTCCCTCGAGGTAACGTCTGGAAGCCAACAGCCGTTAAGGGTCCAACCCAAAGCCAGAGTGGAATGAACCCTTGTTCACACCCAATCTCCTGGTTCTCCTGAACGAGTGTGTTGTAAGACATTCAATATCACCAGAGTGTCCACACTGCGGTGGGATGTCTCAAAAAAAGCAACGCCGGAGCAATGCTGTGGCCGTTGGTTTTCAGGAGTGGGTAACAATTAACTCAAACTTCCCGACCCTTAGCGCTCCAACTCGAACTTGCAATTGTGGCTCGAAGAAGCGCAGTTGTGTGTACTACCTCGCAGCCGTGGACCTGCTATTGCGTGGTACCGGACGAAGCCATTTGCAGTCATACCAGACGCCAGATGTTATCTCGTAATTGCTCACCTCAGGCAAGCAGGGAGTAACAAGCACGGCTATATCCACTCCGCCTATTGCGGTACGTGTGAGTGAACCCAACTCGAAAGATCAGCATTGTTCCCCACGATATCCATCCAGCTTGCGGCGCCGACTCCCCGAGGCCCTGACCCGTTCGAACTCCGCGTCCCCGAACTTGTCAAGTGTCAAATCAATCAAACAATCAGGCTCAACCTGCCTCAATGAGGCCTCCCTCCACTGGCAGTTCTTTGGGGTTTCCACTGGAAAAGCACGGAGGTCGTTGTGATCATGACAAAAATAATGGTCTTTTTCCAAACGCGCACTGAGTTCGAGTGTTGAGTGAGTGGGAGAGATAGTCTCCCGGGTGTCTCCCATGCCTTTGTTTCGTGGCACGGTCTGGTGTCTCCAGTTCGCCGCCCGTTTCAATGTGCGCGCGTGTGCGCATGTGTGTAGGTGCGCGCATCCCGTTTATTGTGAGTTGTTCTGTTCTGTTTCCAAATATCATTGCACGAACGGGTAGAATCCTTCCAGGTTACCAGGAGGAAACAGATTGTCGGATGATCCTGATCCAGGCGTGGCGGTGCAATGAGAGACTATTCTTCATACAAAGCAAGGTACAAAGTTGGCCGTCGTAATCGTAGGACGATATGGAGTTGCAACTTGGCGAGAAGTCATATGTTTTGACGCAATGTTCATTAAACATTATGATTAGAGAGGAACGCCAGTCCATTCTAAAAAATGTGAAGAAAAAAGTTGGGAGAGAAAGCCGGCTCGGACCCACGACCTTCCTGTGATCTCGAGGCCCGTCATGTAAGTGCAGCGAGGTACCTAACCTCAGGTGGAGGATCCCAAAAGCTACATCGCCCTGTCGCCAGATTTACTAGTAACCAAAATGTATAAAAAAGGAGAGAAGCCGCCCACTATGGCGTCACTTGTGGTAACTTGCTCGCCACTCAAGGCTGCCCATCTCGGCACTCCAATGATGGGGTGTTAAAGGCACAGTCATACCCGTTCGGCCGTCATCTACAACGGACGCTGCTTCCCGTGGAGAACCTACGAGTATTCTGGAGCCTATGAAGGATTGTAACTTCAAGGCCCGTGGGAATATACGTGAGGTGGACTGGTAGAGAGTATTCATGCCATGGGTAACTCATCAACCAAGGGGGCGAATTTGCACGCTCAATCAGGAAGATACAGATCCAGTCAAATCAGGGGTCGTCTAGTGCAGCAGCAGTAGAGACAAGCAAACAGGCAAACAGCGTAAGCAGTGTAAGCAGGCCTCAAGACAGACAGTCAGAGAAATAATGCCCCAAGCGTTCGGACGACCGAGAACTGAATCACCCCTCGTTCGGAAGTTACATGTCTCTCCAACTCCGATGAACTACAAACACATTGATGGTACCTATTCTGTGACTGCATGCTGCAAAGCTGATGCTGCTGCTGCTGCTGCCTGCGGGTTATATGTAACATGTACGAAATGTCGAATAGTTCCAACGTCCTGCATATGAGTACCTATACATAAGGTACCTGTGTCCCGTCTACATCTACGTTTGAGACGCCGCACGTCGCCAATTATAGAGTGGTGCTGTCGCTTACATGTTGAAGGTGTGTACCTAAGGTATGTGAGAGGAGGATGAATATCCCCGTAGTGACATGGAATCGCTAGGAAACGTCCTGCGGTTAACTCTTTTGCTTCTCTGGGTAACAAAATACAACATGTGGACGCCAATTCAACTGAGATATGGTGTATGCAAATCTCACCCTGTCAAGACATATACTGCGTCTACAGAAAAAGGTTGCTGAGTACACGCTTCAGAGATGAGAGCATGAAAGCATGAAAGATCTCAAGGGATTCATCATCTAAACCCCCTAGGAACGAGGATAAGGAATTATTATAGTCTTTCCATTAGTCAATGTAGTTGTAACCGGGTTATCTTTGTGTGTTTCGTCCCCCCTCCTCTTCCCTCATCCCTCATCCCTCACCCTCCCCAGCTCCTCCTATTCTTCGTTGCCCTTACAATTTCCCTCCCCATCTCAAAGGATATCGGCGGGCGGACACAAGCCTTGAAAGCCCCAAAAGCCTTGTTTTTAAAAAAAAAAAAAAAAAAAAAAAAAGAAAGGGGGGGATTGGGTTGGTAAACAGTAAACCTCACATGCTTGCGAGTGTGTGTACAGTTGAGAAGAACAAAAAAAATACAAATTTCCAGGCCAGTCTTTCTCTTCGTTGGTCACAATACTTGAAACAGGAAACAGAAAAAAAGGACGACCTGCTCCTCAACCCTTTAATCGAACGTGTGCCATTGTTTCGACATGATTTGAAAAGAAAACGCCTCATTCCCAATGCTATCCCTAATTGTAGTTAATTGTATAAAGTGGTGGCTTGTTGTGTTACTGCGTGCAAGAACCAGGCTTTTCCTTCCCACAGGTATTGTATGTGCGAATCCAGAAACCGGTCTCGACTTTTTTCTTCTTTTTCTTTTCTGACTGATTTGGCATTGTGGTATCGGGGCAGGTTGGGTTGTTTTACAGAATCGAAAAAAAGGGAGCAAGTTGTATTATATGTGTTTTGTTTTGTTGTGATTTCATATCGCCGAGGGACCCTTTTATTCGGACTTGGCCGCCACCGCGGCTCCCTTGCCCTTTGACGCCAGCAACCGGTTTTGCCTGTCGCCCTTGTACCGCGTATCGAGGGCGCGGTCCCAGAAGATGAAGAAGGGCTGAGAGAAGTTGGTCTTGATGCCCCACGTCTGGTGGTGGATGTCGTGGTAGGCGGCGTTGTTGCTCGTGATGTGCTGGAGGGGGTCCCAGGGCAGCGCGTAGCCGCAGTGGTCGTCGACGGTCTTGACGGTGGACAGGCAGAAGAACAGAAGTCCCTGCCTCGCGCTCATGCCGGTGAGGAGAAAGCCGATGCCCGCGCCGAGGGTGTCGAGCAGGAAGCCCTCAAACGGGTGGTTGTAGAGGGCTCCATAGGCGTAGGGGACGTAGAGACGGTGATGTCTCGAGTGGAATGTCGCTAGGAGGTTGTTGTGTTAGTTGAGCTGTTTGCCACCTTTGCGCCGAAATACCCCGGGAGCCATTCGGCCGAGTCGGAGTCCCGAGAGGTCGGGGGAGAATTTGGGTCATAACTTACTGTACATCCACTTGTTTACGTGCATAAGACGGTGGAGGAAGTACTGCCATGTGTCAAGGATAGAGATGGCGGCGAAGAGCTGGAATCCAGGAATGACGAGCCAGTAGATTGCCTTTGCGACGAGCAGTTCCCAGGCGGCGAAGACGGGGACGACGGCGTGTGATCCGTCGAGCTCGGTAGTGAGGAAGGGGTAGTGACCGCCGGCGAGCGCACCGGCAAT